TACAAGGGCTGAAAATGGCTTGGGAAATGGAAAATTTAGGGGGAAGGAGATTTGCAAATTTTGCAAATATTTTCTTTTCTTTCTAATACTTTTAAAGGGTGGATTATAGAAATACATAACATATATATACGAAAATACAAAGGGTTTTGTTATATAATTTTGTAGTTAAAGTATTTACAAATATTATATATATTTATACATATATCTATTTAATACTAGATTTTAACTTAATTTTCAATCCCCATTTATTCCTTACTTTTATAGATTTTGTTAAGTCTCTAAACAATTACATATTATCGCTTAACCAATTCCTACTTCAAGTATCTGAATTAATTCCCGGAAATCGAGGGAAAACCCCACCACCTGACGCAACTCCCACAAGTGGAAACTACTTTTCCGGTTGAAGGGGGATGCGTGACAATAATTAAAAGATTTCCAATGCAAACAAAAGCAAATGGAATGAAAACAAAGTCGCTTAGGCCAAAACTAAATAGGAAAAGCAAATTTTCCACCCTGCCACGCCCACACTTAACCCACTGTCGCCAGCGACTTGAAATGCACAAATGTTTGCCTGTCTATTTGTTTGTTTGTTTGTTTGTTTGTTTGTCGTTTGTCGATTGAGACGGCTTTGATTTTCGCTGAGCTGATTTGATGGGTGGGCAGGAAAAGGAGGTTTTCCCAATGGGGGAAGGGGGTGGAGGAGGGGGGAGGCTGCCAAGGCGGTTTGTTGCGACAAGTGCGCTGGTGTTTGCAGAGCCGTTGTGTGCATAAGCGACGATGATTATTGACACAACGCCAGCTTTGGTACAGTGAGCACTCGACAAGATAAAGACAATATTTTAAGGGTACCTTTCAAGTTTGTACCCTTAAAGTTTGCATAGGGAGCATTCATTTCTATAATCAATATTTAAAATTAAAATATTTCAAATTGACTATTAAGAAAAAGACTATCTGCAAAGATTCATAGAGATAACTTAAAAAATTAGAGACTATGGGCAAAAGGACAGGGCTAGATCGACTCGCTTTTTGATGCTGATCAAGAATATAAATATAAAATAAATTATAATACCCTGCAATGATAGAAAAACAGTGATAATGTATACGAAACCACCATCAAAAGGTTGTCTTTAGTGATCTAAATGAATAATACTATATTTTAAATATTATATGAAGTGAAATAAATAAATAAAATTATATTTTAAATATATAAAGTGAAATTATAAAATTAATTAATAAATAATAAATAAATAAAATAAATAAATAAATAAATAAATAAAATAAATAAATAAATAATTAAATAAATAAATAAATAAAAAATAGATAAATATATAAATAAGTAAATTAATTAATTAATTAATACATTAATAAAATTATATTTAAAATATTATATTTCTAAAAAATACAAGGTACATATAAAATAATTTATTTTCTATAAATAAGAAATATTGACTAATGCTATTTTTTGAAGTCAGGAATCTGTTGTAATAATGATTTGATATGATATATTTTTAATACAGAATATCAATAATGTTACAATATACAAAAATAAAATATAAAAACACATATAACCCTAATAACTGATAAATAGATAAGATAGATAAAAAATATATCCAGAATTTACTGATTTAACTGAATTTAACTGATACCTACATATAATATTTAACTAAATCGATTTCAAATTCTATTATTTTAAACAATTTATAATTTAATTTTAGTATTCTTGAGATATTTTCCACCATTTTCCAAAAAGTTTCCCTAAAAATCGAACTGTGCTGAGTGTGTATTGCCAAAAAGGTAAAATCCGGGGAAGCCCCCCTCTCCCCCAGCTATTCGATAACCCCTTGCCGTGCGGTCGTGCGTAAAATTTAATCAAAGCAAGACTTAACCCCCCACCCCCCGTCCTTGAAGCACCCTGTAACCCCTGAGAAACCAATGTGAGCCATCAATGTGGCCAACAGTTTTCGGTGTCGTGTCCCAAAAGTAGACGACATACAAACAAGCGGAAATGTTGCACATTTGTAACTTTAGCACACTTTTCCGGAGGAGGGGGTGGGGGTGGGGGAGGGAAAGTTGGTGTGGAAAACGAACCGAAAGTTTACCATCCACACCAAGTGCAAATTTCTGTCAATTGTTGTAAATGGAGTTTCCTTTTTCCTCTGTTTTGGCAATTTGTCCAACAAAGTGTGGGGTTTTTTTTCCGTTCAGCCCCAAAGATTGGGCGGAAAAGTTACTTAACCCTACAGTGGGTCTTCAAAATAAACCAAATTTGGTAAAAAAAAATTATTATTATTTTGGCCTAATAAAATAAATAAAAATTAATATTAATATAATAAATACTTGCCAATTCAATTTAATTTGGTTTTTATATAAATCCACACATATTCACACATTCACTTTATCGAGTCTCCACTAAATATCGATCATTTGCGAAACCCCACTAGTTCAATCACTTTTTCAATTTTGGCGCTCACTTTCTTGCAGTGCTGCTTTTAAGTGCTGCGCAGCCCTGGAAAAAAAACCAGGGCACTTTTCGATATTTCGCTTTTGGCGATAAAGAAGAAGTGGCGAAAACAAAACAGCTGAAGCGCAACAACAACAAAGCAAAAGAAAAAGAAGAAGCAGAAACGGCAGACAGGCAACAGTAACAAAAAATAAAGCGAGGCAAAAGCAATCGGGCGTTTATTTATAAATCGGCCCACGAACACAAAAACGGAAAGCAAAAAAAAAAGCTGGGCCGAAACCAACAACAAAAACAACTGACCATTGTCTTGCACCCGGCAACGTTATCTCTCTGTTGCTCTCTCTCTCTTGTAGGCACGGCACTTTTTCCCTCTAGCTCGCGCGCTCTCACCGTTTGTTTTCATCGAAAGATTCGCGGTCGCCGTCACGTGGAGCGCAAGCAGCGACGTTGGCTACGACAGCGACGCTAGCGCAGTTTCGCTTTTAATCGTCACTTTTATTTGCGGTCTACTTTGTGCGTTGGCATCTTTTGTGTCACATATGTACAGTGGGTCGAAATTGGTCTTAGGGTCAGTGACCAAATCGACTGATTTGCACTGGTTAAATATATGTTTTCATTAAATAATAATGCATGTAGTCATAAAATAGCCTATACAAAACTAATTACAACTTTTGTGAGCATGGAGCATAAGTTTTTATGTCGTTTAACCTTTTTTAAGGGCGGAACACGTCATATGATATTTATTATGTTTTTAACAAGAAAAAACGCCTACTTCAAAACGCTTAAGTTTTTTGCTTAATTTAAAGCATTATTCACATATAAATCAGCCGATTTACACTGCAAAAATATATTTTTTCATCGAACAATTGTGCAGAAAGTCATGCAAATGTCTATAGCAAACGCATGCATTTTTTGTGAGCATGGAGTAAATATTTTAATAATAATTTTTAATGTTGTTATAAATATTTTTTATGAAACGAACATGATATGTAATGTTATTTTAACAAGAACAAACACTTACTTCGAAACGCTTAAGTTTTTTCCTAATTTTTATGCATTATACAAATATAAACCCAGCTTACATTTGTAAGTTTATTTATTATTAATATTTTATTTTTATTTTTTAATTCCTTGACGAGTGGTTGAAATGATTAAAATAAGTTTGTAGATATGAGTTACTCGCAAGTGATTAAAAAATTCTTGGAAAATGATTGAAAAATGTTTTTAAAATATATATAATGATGAAAAAAAATTAAAAAAAAGGAAAATTAATTGAAATCATCATCACCCATGTCGCCACACAACGGCTTCTCTTATTTAATTTTTTTTTAACGTTACTTCCCTTGCAAATTGTAGGATATTTATTTAGAATTTAGTAATATATAAAATATATGATATATAAAGTGGCGAAATCTTAAACTTATTATTAAAATTTTAAATATGTTAATGAAAAATGGAAATAATAAATGAACAAAATAAATTAATGTTAATCTATATTAATTTATATTTTTATTATTTGTTGATATTATGCTTTTATTATTATAATTAATATTATTAGGGGAATTTAAAAAAAGAAATGAACAAAATAAATTAATGTCAATCTATATAAATTTCTCTTTTTATTATTTATTGATACTATGCAATAATGATTATTATTATTAGGGTCTAAAATTAAATTCCTAAAACTTTACGAAATTCGATTGATATATATAATTTCAAATAAACAATAAAAATAGACTTTAATTTGAACAGAAATTTCATAAAATGCTAGCTGTTAATATAATTGATTGATCACAACTATATAATATAATAAAATAAATAAAAAAGGATAAATGAACAAAATAAATTAATGTCACTCTATATTAATTTATCTTTTTATTATGTGTTATTATTATGCAATAATAATAATTATTATTAAGGGCTAAAATTAAATTCCTAAAACAACGTAATTCAATTGATATGTACATATATGCATTATTCAAACAAACATTAGAAATAGAGTATAATTTAAACAGAAATTTCATAAAATGCTAGCTGTAAATATAATTGATTACTCGCAGCTATATAATATAATAAAATAAATAAAATAAATTAATGTCAACCAATATTAATTACTCTTATTATTATTTGTTAATACTATACAAGAATTATTATTATTATTAGGGACTAAATTTAAATTTTTAAAACTTAACGAAATTCGATTGATATACATTATACGATGTGTGTTATTCAAACAAACAATAGAAAAAGACTATAATTTGAACAGAAATTTCGTAAAATGCTAGTTGTAAATATAATTGATTGATCGCAGCTATATAGCTATATAAAATGATTAAAATATAAACAATTTTTGTTATTCTGATGTATGCATTATAATTAATAGTATAGGATTTAACTACGATTACCTTATTATTAGTTAATCATAGCCTGGCCTTTACAGTGTTTGCCCGCTATTTCACTCCTTTCGCTCCACTGTAAGGCACACATGTATGTGCCCGCAAAGCCTGAGCATGATGACTCTTCAAATTTCTCGCCAAAACTCGGCTCTCTGGGCTTTGCGCTCTCGCGTTCTGTGGAGATCTGCCTCTCTCTATGCTTTTGTTCTCTGCCCACCCGCAAACTTGCGGTTAATAAAAAACAACGATGGGGGCGTCGTCGTCTGCGGTCGCTGCTCTGCTCTCTGGCTCCGGCGACCACATGATAAAAGGCCATCGAGTTGCGCTGCTGCCGGCTTCGCTGCCTTCGTGGGGCCCGCCGCCGTCGACGTCGCATCATTTGAAAGCGTCACTTTGTGGAGCTAGCTAGCGTTTATATTTATAATTTTTTTTTAGTATTTACTATTTGTAATTCGCAATTCGGAAATCGCAAATCGTAATCCGTGGCTTTTACCTTTCGCCCAAGTGTCTGTCGCTCTCTCTCTTCTCGCTCTGCCGCTCTCTTTATTGCTCTCTGTCGCGGTGTCGCCTGTGCTTCTTTTCTTGCTCTGCTTCTTCTTAAACAGCTTGTTCGGCGTGGCTGTTCTGCTTCTTCCTAATCGTCTCTTTCATTTGTTGTTGACGTCGCGTTGTTTTTGTGCTGTGCATTTCTTTAATATTTGCACCGATCTTAACCCTGTTTTTTGTTTCGTTTTTGTTTGTAGTGGTTTCAAATATGTGATATAATTTGTTAAGTATTTATTTATAAAACACGCGGCCAGATTGCTGCACGAAAAGGCGCCACAGCGAGAACGCAACGAACGCAAGGGAAAGCAACAGCAACAAAAGCGCCGAGGATAGGCAACAACAAGCAAAACCACAAAAACCACCACAAGAAAAAAAATAAAAAGCGTCAACAATCGGTGGCGAAAGGAGCTTCAAAGAGGAAATCAAATGAGAACACCGAGAGCAGAGAAGAACGATACTTAAAATTCAAAGCGAAGGAGGAATAACGATAAAAGACAAAAAAGCACAAAGCAACAACAACAAACCAAAGCAAATAATTGGCAAAAAAAATTATCTAGCAAAAACAAATAATTATCATGCAATAAAACCGTCACAGACAAATACTGAAATTAACAGAAATAAAATATAAAGTCAAAGAAAAATTGCACATAAGCCAAAAGTAAACAAAAAGAAATATATATATAAATAATTTTTAAAATTTATTATCTTTTTAACATGTAAATTTAAACGACACTGAAATCTAAATATTAAAATGCAAAGCAGCTGAAAAAAAAAACAATTAAATAATAAGTGAAATCATTAATGAATGAAATTTAAAACCAATTGAATTAAAGAAATAATAACCTTGAAACAAAAGGATTCTCCTTAAAAGGAAATACATCCGGAGACACACAAGCGAGACGATCCTTTGCTTTATCAAGTACAGCAAGCACTGGAAGATCCTTTGAGAAAGATCCTTTTAAAAATAATTTAAAACAAGTACGATCAGCAGGAAACAAAAAACAAGAACAATGACTGGATAACCCCCACTTAAATATAAGCAAAAAAAGATAGGAATATTATACAAATCAACAGGATAACAAACAGGATCCTTTTGGAAATTGCCATCTTAAAAAGAGAAGATTTCTTCCAAGGATATCAAGGATTTTAGCTTAAAAACTCAGCAAGAGCGTGATCTACAGGTGCAAGTGCAAGCAAAAACAGCCTCAAAATCGGCGATTTAATAATCCTGCACACTCCATATCCCTATTACTCCAGTCCCGCATCCTTGGAGCAACCGGAAATGGTGTACTCGACGAACATCCTGCTGGCCATCGTCACGATCCTGACGGCGGTGTTCATATGGTCACGTCGCACCTACGTCTATTGGCAGCGTCGCCGCGTTAAGTTCGTCCAGCCGACGCACTTGCTCGGCAACCTGACCCGTGTCCTTCGCCTCGAGGAGTCCTTTGCCCTGCAGCTACGCCGCTTCTACTTCGATGAGCGTTTCCGCAATGAGCCCGTGGTGGGGATTTACCTGTTCCATCAACCGGCCTTGCTCATCCGTGACCTGGAACTGGTGCGCACCGTACTCGTTGAGGACTTTGTTAGCTTCTCGAACAGGTTCGCCAAATGTGATGGTCGGAGCGACAAGATGGGTGCCCTTTCTCTGTTCCTCGCCAAGCAGCCGGAGTGGCGAGAGATACGAACCAGGTTGGCACCCGCCTTCGCTGGCGCTAAGCTCAAACAGATGTTCTCGCTCATGGAGGAGGTGAGTCATGACGCATGAGTAAGTTTTTTTTTTTTTTCTTTTAACTGGTTCAGATGGTTGGGCACTAAAATTCCTACACTGCGAGAAACGGGGGAGTGTTTAAATTGCATTGAATTATATCTACATATATGTTATATATTTTTAGACCTTTGCAGTGTTTTATTTGTTTAGTTAGAAGCTTTTACGTTATGAAGAAATCATTTTTGATCCTATAAATAATATATATTCTTGATCGGGATCAACAGCCGATTCGATTTAGCCATTTCCGAGAGAAAAATAAATTTTTTGATTTTTTTTTTAAATTTTATAAGGGGTCAAAATTTTTTAAAATTCATAAAAAATTTAATTCTAAAAAATTTTAAATCGAGTATACAGTTTTATTAAACAAATAAAAACTAACATAGAAAAGCTTTCTGAATGAAAATTAGTGTTTTTTTGGCTTAGCTATGAGTATTTTAAAATTCAATTTGTTATAAAAATGGTCATAGAAATATATTGATAAATATAAATATTAATTTAATTATTAGATATGTTTTTAACAATATATTTTAAAAACTCTATAGTATTTGCCTTTTAATTTACAGCCAGAATTTTATTGTGAAAAAACTTTTATTATAAGAAATATTTTAAAGAATTTTTATTAGGATATTTGAAGATGACTTTATATTTTTGCTTAATTAATTTTATTTAAAGTTCAAAGTAAATTTTTCTTTGTGTAGCCTCAAATGAAAGATGGCTCGTGCCGGAGTCTGATAAAAGGTATCTTTAAACTGCGCGTGTTTCCATTTGAGGCTTATCAAAATAGCCAATATGTTTTCTTACCAAAGGTCTTACCAAAGGTTCTTCTTATCAAAGGTTCTTCTTATTCCTCAAAAATAAAAAAAAAACAATAGACTTTCATATGTGTTAATACATATTTCCAAGCAAACTTTTTTGGCAATGAAGCACAGTGTTAATATGCAAATCAAACTGTATAACTTAAGGCACCAAGCAAGAACAAAAACTAAATTAAAAGTCGGAAATGACTAATCATTCTGATAATGCAAATGTTTTTTTTTGCGACACGTCGAATGAAATGTTTGCCGAGGCTACACTTTGAATAAATGCAGAGCAAACAGGAAACAGTTTATTTTATTAGGGATATAAAATTGATTCGCATTTTGTATATATCTTGAAATATATGTTTTAATTTTATTTATACACTCAGATTGGCTGCGATTTGGAGTGGTATCTGAAGCGACTGACTCGTGATCTTCGACGCGGAGATGCCGAACGTGGAGCAATTGTGAGCATCAAGGATGTCTGTGATCTATATAACACGGATATGATTGCCAGCATTGCCTTTGGCCTGAGATCATATAGTTTACGGAATACACAATCGGAGATCGGTTCACATTGTCAGGACTTATTTCGACCGAATATGAGGAGGATAATCGATTTGTTTGTGATCTTTTACATGCCCAAATTGGTGCCTCTACTGAGGCCAAAACTTTTTACGGAACCGCATGCGGAATTCCTGCGCCGAGTGATCCAGCTGGTGATCGAGGAGAGGGAGCGCGGCGGTGATCTGCGCAACGATCTCATCGAGATGCTGCTGACCCTGAAGAAGGAGGCGGATCTGCAGCAAGACAAGTCCCATTTCACGCATCATCGCGACTTTTTGGCCGCCCAGGCGGCATCCTTTGAGTTGGCCGGCATTGAGACCTGTTCGTCCAGCATGTCCTTTGCCCTCTACGAGCTGGCCAAGCAGCCACTGATGCAGTCCCGTCTGCGTCGTGAGATACGTGAGGCTTTCGGAGAAAATCCCAATGGAAAGTTGTCCTACGAAGTGATTGCCCGTATGCAATTCCTGGATATGGTTGTGGAGGAGACACTACGCAAGTATCCCATAGTCCCGCTCCTGGAACGAGAGTGTACACCGATCAACAAGAAGCGCTTCTATTCCCTAAGGCCACATGCCGAGTGCTATGCCCGCCGGGGAATGCCAGTTTTTATATCCAATTTGGCCATACATCATGATCCCAAGGTGGGCTTTAGTTAAGGGTTATTAGTTAGTTAATTAAACAAGTTTTCTGTGTATGTTTAAATTAATTACTCTTCTCTTTTGCAGTACTGGCCAGATCCGGAACGTTTTGATCCGGAACGCTTCAGTGCAGCGAACAAGGCTCTGCATGCGCCCATGTCATACCTGCCCTTTGGTGCCGGTCCCCACAATTGTATTGGAATGCAGATTGGCCTGCTCCAGATTAAGCTTGGCCTCATCTACTTTCTGCATCAGCATCGTGTGGAGATTTGCGATAGGACTGTGGAGCGCATACGCTTTGATGCCAAGTTCGCGCTGCTGGCCAGCGAGCAACGCATTTACCTCAAGGTCGACTGTTTATAGCCATCCATCAATCGCCATCCGCCAACCAATATTCGATATTTGATATTCGGTATTAGCAGCATTATTTTATTAACCGGGAGCAGAGCCGACGACGCCGCCCCGCCATCATCGTCATCGATTTGTAAATACTTTGGGCCTGCCTCAAAATAAACTTTGCTACGTTCTTTTTTTTTTCTAAATGCTCCATCTCATTGTGTGTTTTAATTAATTGTTTATTGGGTTGCGGAGCATGTGAACATGTATTGTTTAAACTTTTGAATTAAGATAAGGAGACGCTTTTGGGTACTTTCTCGTTTTTTTTTTTTTTTTTTTGTTGGATCAGTGCCCCCAACCCCAGTTTTCTTTTTTGTTTTGTTCTTTTCGTTATGCCACCTCAGCGAATATTTTATTGACTGTAGGTCGGCGGGAGCGGTCGGAGCTCAGCTGATAACACTTATCAGACGGCTCTGAGGCCTTTGCCCGGTGGCCTGATCATTTCGATTCGGATTCGCATGAATGTATGTATATATTTCGGTTTCTCCGATTCGGTTCCGATGAACAAGCTACGTCACCGTCATTGAACACCGGAGAGCTTAATAAACAAAGTTCAGGTTTCCAGCTTGGCGTGTAGAGTTTGCATGGATTAAAGTGAACCCGAGTAGAAGAGTCAGGTGTTGTTAGCATTAAGCTTATAGAGATACTGTGAGTGCAATAAGTTATTTATGGAGATATATAATATGTTATTAGGATTGTGAATAATAGATCTTACCCTTTATGCTCTATTATTATTAGTTTCTAGTAAAACTATGATTGAAATTGTTGCTTTATCGGGTTGTATATTATATTCTAAAAAAATAATAAACTTTTATCCTTTAGTATCTCTAAGTTCTAGTAAAACTATGAGTAAAATTGTTGATTTAACAGGTATCTTATTAATATTATATAATAAGGATAATACATATATATCCAATCATTTATCTTTATTAGCATTTATATAAATATAATACCTGGAGAAAAATCATATAGGGTTCAACCGCTTTCCGTTGACTATTATAGCTTAAAGTTCAAGTGCAAGTCACATATGATCTTTCAATATTAACGCAAAAAACCGGTTGCAAATAACTAATTTGTGATTAATAAACGTTAACAAAGTTCTAAACGTTCAAGGCTTAATGGAAATGCTTACTGTTCTTTTGAAAATATTTTATAAAATACTTAATTATTCAAATATTTTCTGTAAAATACATTTCACTTTGGATTTGTTAATACTTTTACCCGATAATTCCCATTTTCCTATATAGTATACCGACATCTTCGGCATTGGCGGCGTTATGCAAATGCTCACACCCCAGGGAAAACAAGCGGAAAACCGAAGGGTTTTTGTGATTTCCTTGGAAAAATGCGTATACAACTCTTTGAGAAAGAAAATCGTCTCGTTTTCCATTGCATTTGTTGTTGGCCAGTTTTTATTAGACCGCGAAAAATCAACAGTGGCTGCTTGTTCAGGGTGGTCCGTTTTTAGTTTAAACCTATCTGATCCGTTTGCGATCCGTTTTGTGATCCTTTTCTAGCGAGCCGCGAGCCGCCGTTCCTTTCTTGTTTTTGAGGTCCTTGCGCGCACGCCGCTAAAAGGGTTTATTACAGCCTCCCGAAAAACGTAATGTCATAAAGTTTCGAAAGCAAATATTGCAGGGCAATGCACTCGAACAAAAAAAGGGTACAAAGTGATACATTTTGTGATATTTTTTAGATATAATAAATTGTATAAAATGTATATTTAAGGTATATATTTAAATTATTTCGTAGGCGCGGCAATTTTATTATGTATTATATACAAAAGATCTGCAAAAGATTAATAAAAATATCATTTGATATGCATTTTTTTTAATATTTAATACATATCATACAAAATATTAATTTCTTTATATACAAGTTTATTTAAATTGAAATTTCATCCTCTTTATTAAGTCCTGAAAACATATACAGAGGCTAAGGGAACTTTCTTTTGCGTTTTCTTAATAAATTAAAAATATATAAAACATATACGACACAAAATATACACTATTTTGTATAATGTTTTTTTTTTAAATTTAATATTGTACTATTCTTTTTTTTCATACATTTATACAGGGCTTTCTTTTGAATTTTTTAAATAAATAAAAATCTATATAATACATACAACACAAATATATATTAAATATAAATTTAAATATTACATAAAAATGGTATCCATTTTTAAAACTCCTTATAACGTGTTCAATATAATTTATAAGACTAAATGGTCCTTCCTTTGCATTTCTTAAATAAATTTAGTAAATATAAATATTTTAAAATCTTTCTTTCTTAAATTTCTGGAGTCTATGTATATTTTCTTTTACTACTTTAACAACATATAAAAATTTTTTTGCCGTGCACAAACATTTGCTTTACCATTTGAGTGAATGAAAGGGAAAAAGTTGCACCCAGCCTCCTTACGCAGTTGCAGTTGCAGTTGCAGTTGCATTTGCAGTTGCTGTTGCCTTCTGGGAATCATTTGCGTCCTCGGCCTTCCGCCTGACCCATCGACCTGGGCTTGGGCTAATTTACATAAACCTACGCAAACATCACACAGTAACAAACAAACACGGTCAGCCCGAAAGGGTGAAGCTATAGCCAGATGTTGTAGTTGTGCAGAGAGAGAAATTGAAACAGGTCTCAAAAACTCTGAAGATGAAGACAATGATAAATGCTGAGGTATGGAAAAGCTTTAGAAATATTTATAAGATCGGATCAATATGGTATGATGTTGATAAATTGCAAAGATATTCTTTTATCTTCATTAATTAACTATTACCTGTAAGTAACTATGATCAGTAAATAACTATGATCAATGATTAACTATGATCAGTAAATAACTATGATCAGTGATTAACTATAAACAGTGATTAACTATGAACAGTGATTAACTATGAACAGTGATTAACACTGAAAAGCAAGTATCTATCACCAGTAAGTATATATGACCAGTAAGTATCTATGAACACTAATAAACAATGACTTGCAACTTTTGTAACACAACACATTTCTGAGACGTGGCCGGCAGCAGTCACTTCGTTCCGGGGATGTTAGAACCAGTTGGGAATCATATGTGCGTAGGTAACTATGGGCAGTAAGTAACTCTGAACACTAAGTAACTATGACCAGTAAGTAACTCTGATCCGTGATCAACAATAAGTAACTATGATCAGTAATGAACAATGATCACTAAGTATCTATGATTAGTAAGTAACTCTGATTAGTAAGTAGCTATCACCAGTAAGTACATATGTATAATCAGTTACTAACTTTGAACACTAATAAACAATGACTTGCAACTTTTGTAACACAACACATTTCTAAGACGTGGCCGGCAGCAGTCACTTCGTTCCGGGGATGTTAGAACAAGTTTGGAATCATATGCTCGGGTGTGCGAGATTTGTTTTGGAACAAAGAGCAACCCATTTGAATGAAACTATGAAGTTATTCTTCTATATAATTTTACTAGTATATAAGTCGGAGCATAGCGAATCGGTGGACTATATATATATGTATATATATAGCTGCCATAGGGACAATCGGAAAATTTTAAGAGAAAAATATTATAACTTTTCTAGTTTTTAACAGATTTTCATAAATTTTGATATATAGCCGTTATATATTAATCTTAAATTTTGGGTATAATTTTAAAAAAAATCGGAATACTATATCGTATACTATATATCATATAGCTACTATATCATAAGTTATAGCTTCTTCGGCTTAATAACTTAATAACTTCACTTGTGAACAATTCAAATTATTTTTATATCATTTTGATTTCTTTTTATTTAATACTATTATTAAATAGAAACATATGTACCTTATATAGTTTATCAACTATGAAGATATTTTTAAAATTGATTTTAAATTTAATTTTAAATTTCTCTGTGTGTATTTCACTGTTTCTGGGCCTAATTAGAGCCCCTACTCCCACGCACGTGTTCCTTTTTTCCGCATCTTGGCCCTGCACTTGTCCCATCCGTTCCCCTAATTCGGGGTTTTTTTCGGTATTTTCTTCTCTTTATTTTTTTCTCCCGATTCCTCCGAGGGTCCCCTGACAGTTGCTGTTGTTACGGTTCACCATGACCAACGCCAACAATTACCGCCGCAATTCTATTGTCTCTCGATTTCCTGGGGACCCTCTGCCGCCCCTCCATATGGGTAAAAAATAACACAAGTATATATAAAGATATATTCGAATACATACATATATATTTTTTATAGCTCATTTCCCACATGTCGCGGCGTTTCCCCCTTTTTTTCTGGAATGACACTTCACTCTCGCCTGGTGGCGGAACCATTTTAATGAGCCCAAATTACTAAATTAAAAAACGAGGGAAATGCGAAGCGCAAATGCAAAGATCCACCGATGTGGACATGCACATGTCCAGTCGATCCACCGGAAGTAGCCATTAGCCGTTAACCATTATCCATTAACCATTCAGCAGTCACCAGTTGGCATCGATCCTCACGCGTCGATCACCAGAGACAGGATCAATTAAGGCTGTCAAACATATATTTATATTTTAAGCGCCATCGGAATTATGGTTATTAATGAGGGGCCATCGTTTATGGCTCAATTCGAAGGGTAAATTCGATACCAAGAAGGGGGAAAAGGTTATCCCAATTAGCTGGGAATATACATAGAAAATTTCAAATTTAAACTAGTTAATATTAAAGTTATACCAAAATATTAGCAGTATAATAATTAACTAAACATTTTAAATTAATTTCTTAACCACTTTTAAAAATAATTTCTAAATAAATGGTAATTATTAATGATATTATAAAGTTATACCAAAATATTAGCAATATAATAATTAACTAAACATTTATTGGTTGGTCGAGAATGTAATAAACTTTAAAATAAATTGTTTACCATTTTTAAAAACAATTTCTAAATAAATGGTATTTATTATTATATCATTAACATTAATTGGTTGGTCGAGAATGTCATACATTTGAAAATAATTTGTTTACCATTTTTAAAAACCCTTTCTAAATAAATAATATTTATTAATGCTATTATAAAGTTATACCAAAATAATAGCAATATAAAATTTAACCAAACATTTATTGGTTGGTCGAGAATGTAATACATTTGAAAATAATTTGTTTACCATTTTTAAAAACCCTTTCTAAATAAATGGTAATTATTAATGCTATTATAAAGTTATACCAAAATATTAACAATATAATAATTAACTAAACATTTATTTGTTAGTCGAAAATGTAATACAATTTAAAATAATTTGTTAACCATTTTAAAAAATTGTTTATAAATAAATGGTAATTATTAATGCTATTATATAGTTATACCAAAATAATAGCAATATAATAATTAACTAAACATTTATTGGTTGGTCGAGAATGTAATAAGCTTTAAAATAATTTGTTTACCATTTTAAAAACCCTTTCTAAATAAATGATATTTATCAATGCTATTATAAAGTTATACCAAAATAATAGCAATATAATAATTAACTAAACATTTATTGGTTGGTCGAAAATGTAATACAATTTAAAATAATTTGTTTACCATTTTTAATAACAATGCTAATGCTATTGTGACAACCCTATGCATAATTTGTATATTAGACAACCCTACTTTAAATCCTGTAACTTAACATAACATGTTATGTGGCTTTAAAGTTACTGTTAAAAGTTTTCTTGCCACACATCTCCCTTTCATATTTTCAGTATTGCCTTGACTGCCTAACCAGCAGCACATGAATTATTTTACTCCCGTCTTAGTTAATTTGGTTTTGAAAATGAGTTACCTGTATTCTCCAACGGTTTTTCCTTTTTGACGGCTTTAATATTTTTTGATTTCTTTTTTAAATGAAATATTTTATATATAACTTGGTTATTTGACACGGTTACAAGTTTCGGCTATATTAATTGTGCCTCATTTTGATTTTGATTTGATTTATATTATTTTCAGAGATATATTCTGTTGATGTTGTAGTTGCACTGTATGCTTTACCTGTCGTATTATCGGCTTTGTTCACATTATCTGCTTGACTTCTCGAGATCGATGTTAAATACTCTTGCTGCTCCTGATCATGATACAATTATATAAGTTAGTCCCGTCCTCTTCAATCATAGCTAGCAATGAGTGCAAGTAATAAGAATGTGATTTGATTTATATTAGTTTTAGAAATATATTCTGTTGATTTTGTAGTTGCACTGTATGCTTTACCTATCGTATTATCATCGGCTTTGTTCAAATTGTCTGCTTGACTTCTCGAGATCGATGTTAAATACTCTTGCTGCTCCTGATCATGATACAATTATATAAGTTAGTCCCGTCCTCTTCAATCATAGCCAGCAATGAGTGCAAGTAATAAGAATGTGATGTTAAGCCCTTAGTTAATGTATTGGGCAATATATTGGTTTTTATATGAAAATTCGTTTATTTTATACATTAATTAATTTATAACAAATGATTTATAATTTTTGTTTTTGTTCGGAGCCATTTTTTCACGTTGTTAATTCTAAAATATATTCTAAACTGAGAAATAGATTATGGTTGAGTTTGTCCACTTGCCGGATTAATCATTCTTTTTATTCTAAAATATATTCTAAACTGAGAAATAGATTATGGTTGAGTTTGTCCACTTGCCGGATTAATCATTCGTTTTATTCTTAAATATATTCTAAACTGAGAAATACATTATGGTTGAGTTTGTCCACTTGCCGGATTAATCATTCTTTTTATTCTAAAATATATTCTAAACTGAGAAATAGATTATGGTTGAGTTTGTCCACTTGCCGGATTAATCATTCTTTTTATTCTAAAATATATTCTAAACTGAGAAATAGGTTATGGTTGAGTTTGTCCACTTGCCGGATTAATCATTCTTTTTATTGGCGACAACAAAGTATGTGTTTTTATTTTTTAAAGCATTTTCCATTCGCTTTGATGTGCTCAGATAGACACTCGGGGACGGTTTCCCATCTTCGGAAATGTATTTTTTTACGATCTCATCTGAGCGAGATCAACTGGCAGATCATTTCGCACACGTCTCGCACTGTAATTCTGTAATGCGATTTGTATCTGCGCGTCCGAGGGATAAACAAACTGGAATATGCACAAAAGATGCGACAGATATTGGCGTATGAATGCGGCAACTTGTGCTCTTCATTCAACAAAAAAAAAAAGAAAATGAAAAAAAAAAGAAGAACCAAGGGGAATGGCTGTAAATACAAGGGGTTGGCTATGGAAAAATTGGAAAATTGAATGTCTTGTAATCCAAGAAGTTGCCTCACTTCGCCATGCTTCGCTTATCAGTTACATTTATATGCGTATCTTTCAGATACACTCTCGGATGCTGCACTTCCGCTCTCGGTTCCATTCCCATTTCCACTTTCCACTCTCCACTGCCAACCATCCATCCATTGCCTCATTTTACCTGGCGCTACTTAAGTTTTCTTCTGGGAGTCCTTCGTCCTTATTCACATCCTTGTCATCATTTTCATCGCCGCTCCCAGAGGAAGTTCCAATTTGCTACGTCAATGAACCATGGCCCTGATTTGCTCATCAAGTGCCTGTCCCATTCCCCGATCCCAGGGCGCTCTCTCGTCCTTGGTCCTTCGTCCTGGTTTTATATTTTTCCCTCCACTCCCCAGGACCTTGTTCGCATTTCTTTTGGGTGTCGGTTTTTTTTTTTGCCTGTGATTTCTGACACGGCGCTGACTGTTGGCTGTCAGCTAAAATCATTTTTGAATAAGGTTAGCGAGGGGCGTTTACACAATTTTTGGGTCATTGCGATTTTATACTACTATAATAATAATAATAAAATAATAATATATTAATAATAATAATAATAATAATAATAAAAAAAAAAAATAAATAATAATAATAATGTAATAATAATAACAATAATGTAATAATAATAACAATTATATAATAATAACAATAATATAATAATATTAATAATACAAAATAAATAATAACATTAATAATAATAATTAAATAAATAAATAATAAATAGTAAAATAATGCACATCTAAATCATAATAATGAGTAATGTACAAGCAAATAAGAAAGTCGAAGATGTTGCAATAAACATGTAGCCAAAACATGTTGAGCAACATGTGGCTTAAGCAACACGCCTGGAACTGCCTTAATTACAAGACTAATATATTTTAGTGGAGAAATTTAAATAAATTTTCCTTTCAAAACTAAGATATATTTTGTTGGAATAAAACTACAGGAAAATAAAGTAATACATAAAGTAAATATTAATTATAATAATAAATAAATAATACATAAATAAATAATATTTATATATAATTTAATATATCATAATTTATATAATATATAACTTTATATAAAATAATATTTATTATAATTTACCTTTTTTATTTAAAACAAAGTTAAATAAATAAATAATGAAAAATATCAAATGCTCAAATACCATTTTTGCATTTTATCCATATCCTTGAATTATTTATGTATTTATTATAAATTTGTGAAACCTCCCTCGCTACCTAAATCTCCCTGTAACATGATGTCTTGAGCGCCGTCTTCAATGCCGCCCAAAATGTTGCGCCAAATTGTCTGTTTACATTAAATGCATAAATTATGCAGCATTTTATTTACTTATTTATGGGATGTCCCTGCCTGGCTTTGATTCCGCCACTTCACCAAAAAAATGCCAAATGCATAAAATATGTCAGTTGGCCATGCACACAATGTATATATAAATATATATTTGTATATAAGTGTAAACACCACCCCATATATATATACATTTGTTCAATTTCATTTCGTATGCATTTCATTTCGGCAATAATGATTTTTCCACAGATTTTCATGGTTGTTGTGCCGCCCTAATGATGATGTCTCAGTTTTGGGTCATTTCAGACAGCGGAAAAGCGTGAAGGAAACCTCCCTGAATGATGCCAGGACTTCCCCTTTATTATTATTATTATTTTGTATATTATACCAGAAAAAACCCTGTCCATTGATGCCCATATTAACCATGTATTTGTGCCGTGTACTTGAACATATGCAAAATATAACAGATTATGTAAAATAACTTATTTTTTCTTTCTTTTTTACGCATTCCTCCTGCTTCAGGTTATCCTAATTATTAATCTTTATCTTCTGGAGAATCCTCCGGCTCAATATCCTCGTTGATGGTATAAAGCATATTATACGATGGCATTGAATTGATTGCCATATTATATTCCACTTGGGGAGCAGCAAATTCGACCTCCGCATCTGAATCGGATGAGTTTATTGGCGAAATAAATACCGAATGGACACGTGTAGCCTGGGATGTGGCATTCCAGTCATTGGTTTCAGGATTCGGTATGCAATCCAGGACACCATCCTCAATGGTCGATGTCCATGCATCCACGGTGATGATCTTGGCGGCATTATGCTCTTCTTGCGCATTTCCACCATTTCGCCAATGATCTCGAGTTGTTTGTCCGTAATATTGGCGACCAATTGCTTTAGGCCCTCAATGGTACTCTCACAATTGGACATCCTATGTTTAAGCAAATAATTCTCGGCGCGACAGGTGGCCAACTCGTACATGGAAATCTTATTGGTATCCGTTTCGGTGGTTCTAGAGCTGAAATTCCAAAACTATCGTACCAAAACTAATATGCGAACTTTACGAAGCTAAAAACTTACATGGACTCCCTGGTATGGGTCGGGGAAATATGCGACATCGTGAGACTAGAAATTTTCCTGAAATCCTAATATTTAAAATCTCTCAAAAAAATGTACAAACTTTACTTGGATATTCTATTAAAATTTTTCAAAAAGTCGTCTAATAATAATATTGATACTGTTGATGTGAAAGCTTCGATTTGAATGAGGAGAGTGAGAGGGTTACACAAAAAGCAAAATGATTCTGGATAGTATTTTCAAGGGTACTATGATCTAGATAGTTTAGCTTTCATATAAAATAATCTTTGAATTCTTAACTTACTGAATTTCCAACTCCAAGTTGTAAATGTCTTATAGTTGCTAAGAAATCTTAAGGAGTTGCAGGTTCTGGAAATATTTATTTAGCTACATTTACCTTGCAACATTTTCTTGGTCATTTAGTCATGTTAAATTGAAGTCTTTTCTGTTTTAAAGGGATCTGGCTTGCTGGTAACCCAAATATGGGGAAATATGTATCTTAAGGAGCAACCCTCCTTTGGTGTTGTCATTTATGTGTAAATGACAATGTCGAAAACCCTCCATATCCATGGATATATCTTTAGTTTTTCCAACCCGCTGATATTTTTTTGTCATCCCATTCTGGGTGGCATGTTTTTGCCCCTACTTACTCATGTAATGACCATAGGATTTTAGATAGAAAACCATTTGGAATGGGTGTATCCACATCCGAAAGATGGGTTCAACCCTGATCCTTGGGAAATAGAAATTATAAATAGCTTAATAATATTTCTAACTTAATAGGAGATATTTATGATATTTAGGAAATTTAAATAATAAATATCTAAATAATATTTACAAATTAAAAAGGAGATATTTCGAATGCTTAGAAAATTAAAATTAATGAATATTTTTGGGATATTCCTGATGCTTGGGAATTTTAAATAAATAATAGCTTAATAATTTCCAACTAAAAAGGAGTTTGTTTGTAGGAAAATTGTTTAAAACACACAGTAACTGAAGAAGTCTCTATTTTGATAAAGGTTCAATAAATATATTATTTAATTACGTATTTAAAATAAATCAAATTTATTTATAAGCAAGACAAGGCGCTTATAATATTAATAAAGCTTGGAACTATATTATAATATTAAAATTATGGAAATTTCAGTATTAATTTCTTATTAATTCACTGAAAATATAATTAAGATAAAGTTTATTCTCCAAAAACTTATTTGTAAGGATAAAAAATATTCTTTAAAGGGTTATTTAGTAAATATAGTCTCAAGAAGTAGAAAATAAACCATACATATAATTAGGAACTTAGATCCTTTACGATATTCCCTATAAACAAATTCACCCGGAATTGGGAAAGACCTCCTCTATATAGTGTTCTTAAAATGTTTAATATATACATTCTTAAAAGGTAAGATCCATACATATATTAAATCCAGAATCTAGATCCATTAATTAGAGTATTCCTGAACAAAACAAATAACCCGGAATTGGGTAAGTGCTTCTCCCTATAGTGTTCCTTAAAATGTTTCATAATACATAAGGTCTTAAGAAGGACACCTAGATCCATTAAATATGATATATCTCTATAAAACAATTCCTCCGGAATTGGGTAAGTACTCTTCTATATGGTGTTGAACCCTTAACACCCGCCTTACTTACTTGCCTATATATAAAATATATCCAACACTCAAGTGATTCCTCATCGAGTTACAATATAGTACGATTTACGGCCTCGATGACCTCCGATGGGTGTGTGTTTTTGTGTGTGTGGAACTACCCCTAAAAGGTTCAAAAATCGGAGCCATATAATTAGTGTAATTACCTCAACAGCCTACTAAATTCGAGAAAAATGCAAACAAAAATTAAGAAATCACAACATTTATATCCCCCTGTCAACGAGCCCCTCCGCTCTTCGTACTCCGTTTTCTGTTCTCCCCTCCTTGATCCTCGCGCAGAGTCAAGGACAATAGAGTCCTGGCGAACAATTGATGGCATCTAATGACAGGGTGGATTGCAATTTTTTCGTTTTAATTCCAGTGCCAACTTCTGTTCGATTCTCCCCTTTTTCCAGTGTGAAGTCTGCAACTTTGCAGTTGCATTGTCTCGAATCGGTCGTTATAAATTACATTTATTTCCGTTGAGCAGCCGTTGGGCCCTCTGGGTTTCCTTTTTATTTTTTTGCTTTTGGGTTTTCATTTCCATTTCCACCCAACTCCACCCCTTTTTCCTTTTAGTTGCTTTTTGTTGCAGATGATTAGCAAAAATGGCAAAGAAGATGCAACCATTAGTCGTGGTCACGTGGAAATGGAAATGTGCCAATCATCCTGAGATACAAATGTCCTGCTAACTATCCCTTTTTACATGGAATTCAAGGCGGCATTCTCTTTAGAGTCAATATATATGTTTTGGCTCAAAACATAATTAACGCCTAATGAAAATATTTTGGCTCGGCAAAAACCCTTTGAACCCGCAGGACACACACACACAGTAGCACAGAAGCCAACAGAAAAGAAAAGGCAATGGAAATTTGTTCGCTGGAAAATTGGTCAAATAAAACAACAATGATTTCGATGGGTTTCTAAAAACATGCCATCATTTTACCGGCAATAGTTTTTTATACCAAAAAAAATATTATACAAATGAGTTAAACTATTGCTCGGTGTGTTTTTGGTCTCGCAGATGCTCGTGGTAATGACTTACAAAAATTTTGATACGTTAGGAAGAAGAATGGTTAGTGTAATACATTTGTATCAGATAGTATTAAGTGCGGGAAAATTAATACTAAATTTTACAAAATACACTTAGATTTTTTTTAAAGATATCAGGATAATCAAAAGAGTTGTAAGAGTTCGATGATTGTCAGCCTTTAAAAAATCTTTTTCTTCCTCGAATGCAAGCCATCGATTGTTTGGCGATCCGCGCTCTGCGATGAGGTCCAGTTGAGATTCGTTTGGTTTGTTGAAAATCAGGGGATAGTGTGTAGTTCCAAATAAAATTTCTTCCAGAAGTCCCAAAATTTCGGTTCAGACGATGAAATGTTGCTCTCTGTCGCAACTCGGTTTTTACCTACGCTTATAAAATTGAGTCTTGAAATTGTATCGCCGTGGCTGGTCCATAGCATTGAGTTGTAAAGTCTGGGCTTTGTGCAGATTTAATGCAGTTTGACTTGGCTGGGATGTTAGCGGAGGAATATCGGATCGAACGACATTAACACGATACTTAGTTGCAGCCGCATCACCGATATCCGGTCGCATTATATTCAAAATACTCTGCTTCCGGGTAGGCAGAATCGGTGGTTTGGTTTTTGTGGAGGCGTCATCAGGTTTCTGAAAGTAATAAGAATAAGAATTAATTTATTAATTAATCATTTAATTAAAAAAAAATTATTAATTAATCATAAATTCAATACTGTTTCAATTTTGTTTCAATTTTGCTTCAATTTTGATTCAATATTCTGTGTTTCTTTATTGTTTCTGTATTGTTTCTGTATTGTTTCTATATTGTTTTTATATTGTTTCTGTATTGTTTCTATATTGTTCCAATATTCTTCCTATATTCCTCCTCTATGGCACATGAAACTTTTAAATAATATAGTAATCTTTGATATTTCAAAATCTAAGAAAGTTATATTAAATGAAAAACATTTTTCAAATTTAAATTTGTCTCTTTAGACTAATTCCCCTGACAAAATATTGATTTATGAAACGTTAAAATATATTATTCTTTGACAAATCTAAGCTGGCGATATATAAACGTTATGAATTTGACGTTTAATAGTGTAACCGAATAAAATATTCTGATACAATTTAATATTTTACAACTTACCTGATGACGCTGTGGCTCCCGTTTTGGTTGAGCATACTTGGGCCAGTTTTTTATATTTCTAAAGTTTGGTGACATATTCTGGATCATGCTATTGACAAGATACGTTGCGGATTCGGAGCTAATCTTTTCCGTATAACCTGGCCAATTTGGATCCTCTGGCGGACCCAGATCTCTGGCCCAGGCACGTTTTGATGTCCGTCCTCCGTCCGTATGTGTCCTCGTCCTTGGTCTGTCATTGTGGATGTTAAGTTTTGTTTCGTTATAGTCCCTTTGCCGATCCTGATAGTCCTGTGTAGCCTGTTCTAGTCTGTGGTGATCGGCCATCAAGCAGCACAACCGTTGTGTAGTATTGTCCCTGTCCGTGTCGCGGCAGTCCGTACTTTCCAAATCCTTTTCCAAGTTAAACAGCTTTTCCTTCGAATTTAAAATAGCCTTCTGAATTATTAAATTCATAGGCGATACCTTGCGCCACGGTGGCATCAAATTCATTGGGTCATGCTGAGGCAGTGGACGATCCTCCAGTTTGTTCGCATCCTCAGAAAGATTCGGAGACATGGCGAAAGGTGATCGCGCGGTGTGCCTAGCCCGGGATTCACTGGCAATGCGAGGTTTCTCAACCATTTCCGGTATAGGAACCCTTTCCGGTACGCCATTGGCGAACAATCTTTTCGACCAATTTCTTAATGCTGTAATAAGAAAAAAAACCGAAATATTCCGTAAAGATCAACGAAAGCGAAAGAATTTAGAAACTTTTGTTCGAAACAACGCGAGTAGAAAAATCAACACTTACTAGGTATAACACTTCTAGCCGAGTCTAGGATTCTAGAATTTAGCTGGGACATTTTTTTATAGAAATTTTTACTACTTAGAAATAGGGGGGGAAAAATAGATACTGATCCGAACGAAGTCTAGTAGAAAATGAATGTTTTGTTATAGCATCAGTCTAGACGTTGACAATTTCAGCTCCAAGGCTAACTAGATTGGAAAAAAGTTGAAAAAATAAGCCTGCTATATTTAATTGATTTAAAATTAGTTGGAATTTACAAAGAAATGTATATAAAAAAATAAATTATGGCCTTAATATCTTATTACTCTGCCCAAATTTCTTTATTTCAATAGATTTTCACGGCTTTTCTATCCTCTGGAATACTTTATTACCATTTTTTTATACAAAATGTTATAGGATTTTCAATATATTTGTAAATTAAAATTGAAAATAATTGAACTATTACCATAATAGCTAGTATTCCTGGACAATTTGCTTAATTTAAATAAATTGCTTTGATATTCTTGATTTTCCCGTATTCTCTGACACATTATTATTATTTACTTATTTGTTTGTATTTCCAAAAATATTTCTAAATTTAAATGGATAATTAATAAATAATAAATAAATTATCTTAATACCACGTTTTTCTGTAAAATTTGCTCTATATTAATAGATTTTCCCATATCATTGGACACTTTATTATCATTTAAATATTTAAAACTTATTTGTATTTACAAAAATACTTCATATTGAAACTTAATAAATAATAAATAAATTCCTTTAAAATCTCATTTTCCCTGTACAATTTACTTTATTTTAATAGACTTTTCTTGATTTTCCCATACCTTCATTAGCAGCCACACACTTTATGATCCTTGATCCTGGCCACGGTTACATCACTTTTTTGGCACTGGGCCATAAACCCTGCTGATCCTTCTTTGGCCATTTTTCGCGTTAAAAACTGACGCAAAAAATAAACAGAACTAGAAAAAAACTGAGCTACAGAACTAAAAAACTGAACTCAAGGGCCAACCATAACCAAGGCAAGTTTCGTTATTTTTTATTTGATTTTATTATTTGATTTACAGTCTCCGGTTTCGCGGGACACACACGCGATTGCATTTTGCGTAATGTTTTTCTAGTATTTTTGCGTGTGTTTTTTTTCGCAGAACTTTTTAGTCCTGTTTATTTTTTATGACACGTGGATATATCCTTTTTGTCTGTGTCTGTGTATGTGTGTGGATTTTGGGCCGTTTTTTGTGCAGATTTTTTTATGGCTATGGTAGAACTTCTTTCAGTTGTGTGCAGTTTTTTAGGCTGACACGCGAGGGCAGCCTCCTTCTCCTACTTTTTTCTTGTTCGTAGAAATGGCCTGAATTTTTATGGCTTACGCAATTCGAGACGATCCCGTCGAAGATCCTTAGCCGTAAATCCAGGCAGAAGGCCAACAGCAGCTGCCCGAAATCAAAAGTGTGCGCAAAAAAATCGGGAATCCTTCAGAGACGAAAGTGAAACAAAATTGATGCTGCTTGAAAAAAAGAATAATATATAAAACAAATAATAACAAATGGGGGAATGTTCAAAATAATATCAAATATCAATTGTATGTAGCCAGTGTTTGCTGGAATAATATTTAAGTGAATTTGGAGTACATATTGGGAGTGAAGATAGATTATGGGATATTTATTTGTAATTTCTATGTTTGTATATGGCTTTATGCCTAAATGATTTCATATTAAATAATGTTTAATATATTAATTATATGTTTAATGTAAAGTTTATTGATCATTTTATAATAAATTAATAACTTTATTGCCTCTTATAAAAAGAAAAAAGAAATTAGTACTTTCTTTCAACAAAAATTAGGAAGAATCTGAAGATATTTGTAACTAGTTGTTTTTATGTTAAATATTAATTATCAATATTATTAAACCACTGTTTGTAGGAATAATTTTAAAGTACATTTTTGGTATATTTATTTGTTTGTTTATAGCTTTAAAATAATTGTTTCCATATAAAATCATATTTAATATATTTCTTGTATGCATTATTTCTTAACATATTTATTTAATATTATAAAATAATAAAGTTATCTTTTTTCTCCCTAATTAAAGACCATTAAATACATGTTCATCAAACAAGAACTAATTTAAATTAGAATTTATGAGGATTCTCTTAATACTTTAAAGAATTAAAGGATATTCACAACTAGTATTTCTTATTTTAAATATGAAATATAAACTTTATATATGTTTGCTTAAATAGTATTTAAGTGAATTTGTAAAAGTGGATATGGGATAGTTATTGGCTGTTTATTTGAAATTTCCGTTGGTTTACAGCTTTAAAATAATGGTATTCATATTAAATTATATAGAATACATTTATTTCAAGTATTATTTATGGTTTATAGATTATTTTCATTATAAATTTATACATTTCTGTTGATAAAATTTTTATGAAAATAACGAAACTATTTATTTTATAATGAAAACTATTTTAAAATCCAGGTTATTAAGGTTATCAGAAATAATCTAAAGAAACATGAATTAAATTATATTTTTTTCAAGTATTTTTAATATTTTTTAGATTAGTTTTTAGTATAAATTTATACATTTCTGTATATAACTTTTTATGAAAATTAAAAAATATACCTTTCTCAAACAAAAACTAATTTAAAATTAAATTTATGAAGATTCCACTAATGTTATCAATAATAACCTAAAGATAATCGCAGCTAGTTATCCTAATTCTTCATTTAAAAATCCACACTTTCCTTTAAATTAATACTTCTAAATCTTAATAAAAAAGTCCTGGAGAGGAAATCCTTGCACACATCCTGGCACAGTATCCCGTTGATCTGGCCAAAACAATGCCACCAGGCACTCCACTTTGACTTGGCTTCCGGGGTGGCGGCTGCTTCGATTTCGCATTTCTGCTCATCCATTGACTTTTGTGTCAAATTGAGTTATTCAAAATGAAAAAGAAGAAGTAATGAAAAGGAAGAAAAAAAAGAGGAAGGACACATGCACATGGGCTGATTTTGATAATGCTTCGGTGAATTGATATCCTGTTGCGTTGTTGGCATACAAATATTTACCTTACTCATAATTGAAGTGTCTGCGTTTGCGATTTTTGCGCCATTTGGTGTGTAAGTGTGTGTGTTAGGAGAGGGATGTCCTGGTGATCCTGGGACGCCCCACGTGGCTGTTGGCTGCTCCTGCTGCTGCTGCTGTTGCCTGATTATGCTGTCGAGTGTTGGTCCTGCTGAAATCCTGTTTAGTCACTGACCGAATTCCGGCTGCACTAATTGTTGGTGTGTGTGGCCAAATGAAGTCACCAAAAATGTACAAAAAAAATTAAAGAAAGAAATGCTCAAGTAAAATAGAGACACTCAAACATTGAGAGCCAAGGGCCACCTGCATTGGCATTGTTCAATTCCTTTGGGCCATTAGTTAATGGCCACACATTCCCGGTCTCGTAGTGTTTCTGCCACAAAAGAGTTCTTGGCCAATTTTTGGGTGGCATCTGCCAAATGAAGATGTTTTCAAATTATTTTTTGCCATGAATGAATCTCAGCGGAGAGAAGAATCACAAGAATGTGCACTTGAAAGGTAAGAAAACAAATATATACATTTTAAAAACAAACAAAGCCGTTTTCACAAAACAGGTGGAAAGCGATAAGAATGGTTTTAGTTCAATAGAAAAAACCTAAGGAATTAATATAATATATTTCCATAAAAAGATACAAGTTTATTTTAAGTTTGCATAAAATATAAAGTAATGCAGCTTTATTTAATGTTTGTTAATCAAGTTATTAAATTTCTTGTTCTAGTTTCTAAATATATATGTAATAAATGTAAAGCCTTTATATAAATACCACTTTCATAATGATTTATGTGGAATTAAACTTTAATATTAAATATATACAACAATTAAAATAAAATATGTACTATTTCTTATAGATTTTTCTGCCTTTTCCTAGTTAATAAATTAATTGATTCAGGTTTTCTCTAATAGTTTTCCTTGTAATGTTTTTTTTTCCTTATGAAATCTTTAAATAAGTCAGTCCTTCTTTGGTACAATCTAAGGATATTATTATATATTATAACTTTCACTTTATCGTACTAAAAATAAACAATAAATAACCTACATGTTTATTCTAAAATTTATTTTAAATTAAAAAAACTTCGCTTTGTGTAAAGTAGCATATCCTTCCAGTTTTAAATGTCTATAATGTATATAAAGAGTGTTAATGTAATACAATTTCATCATTGATTCAGATTAAATTAGACTTTAATATTATATTTAAAATATATAATATAATAACCACTACTTTTTTAAATACATTTCTCTCTAATTTTTTAAATACATTTCTTTAAATACATTTCTCTCTAATTTCTTACAGAAATAAATAAATTTATTCAAACCTGAATAGTTTTTTTTGACATAATAGAACCTTTAAATAATTTAGTTATTTTTCAAAAAAGGTACTTTCTCTTATGAATAAACTGAGAATATTGTTACAATTTATAACAGATAATTTTTGTAATAAAATTAATCAAAGAAAAACCTAATTATTAATTCTAACATGTATTTTAAATAAGAATTAATAGCTTTACTTATAATTGAAGCAAAATAGTTTTTCCATCCCTTCACTTAATCTTCATTTTAAATAACCAAATAGTTGCCAATATTTATCCTTCTAGTTAAATATTTTTAAACTCCTGTCAACGTCACGCCCCGAGAAAATTCGAATTTCACTGATTTCTGTGACACTTTCGCTGATTTTCCAACGCATTTCCCTGCGTTGAGGCGCGTCCAAAGTCAGCTAATTAAAACTAAACCCTTTTGCTAGGCCTCACCCACTTGCATCGCCTTGATTTTCAAAGGATTCGGGGTCTTCGGATTCAGTATCCTAGACTCTTAGTCCTTCGGGCGAAGGACTACGCCCACGGCAAAATGTTAATTACCAAAATTTTTGGAGAGCAGCGGAACCAAAGTAAGCCACACTTTCCGGAAAAAGACGGACTAAGGGCGATCGATCGATCGGAGTCAAAGGATTAGGGCAGCGGAATCCGGGGATCATATAGCCTCTTTGGCCGATCCTGGCCGAAAGGGGTGCGGCTGTGTTT